CCCCAAATTCCTGGATTCCTGCCCAAATTCCCACTAAAACCCTTTAAAATTGCCAAATTCCTCCCAAAATTCCAATTAAAACCCCTCAAAATTCCCATTTTGGATCCCAAAATTCCCAAAATTCCCGGATTCCTGCCCCAAATTCCCTCTAAAACCCCTCAAAATTCCCGTTTTGGATCCCAAAATCTCCCAGAATTCCAAATTCCTCCCAAAATTCCAATTAAATGCCCCCAAATTCCCGTTTTGGATCCCAAAATTCCCAAATTCCTCCCAAAATTCCAATTAAAAACCCCAAATTTCCACTAAAACCCCTCAAAATTCCCATTTTCCATCCCAAAATTCCCCAAATTCCTGGATTCCTGCCCCAAATTCCCTCTAAAACTCCTCAAAATTCCCATTTTGGATCTCAGAATTCCCGAAATTCCCGGATTTCTGCCCCAAACTCCCTCTAAAACCCCTCAAAATTCCCAGATTCCTCCCAAAATTCCAATTAAAAACCCCCAAATTCCCATTAAAACCCCTCAAAATTCCCATTTTGGATCCCAAAATTCCCAAAATTCCTCCCCAAATCCCCTCTAAAACCCCTCAAAATTCCCATTTTGGATCCTAAAATCTCCCCAAATTCCCAAAATTCCCAGATTTCTGCCCCAAATTCTCACTAAAACCCCTCAAAATTCCCATTTTTGATCCCAAAATTCCCAAATTCCTGCCCAAATTCCCACTAAAACCCCTCAGAATTCCCATTTTCCATCCCAGGATTCCCAAATTCCCGGATTCCTGTCCCAAACCCCTCAAAATTCCCATTTTCCATCCCAAAATTCCCCAGAATTCCCAGATTTCTGTCCCAAACCCCTCAAAATTCCCATTTTGGATCCCAGAATTCCCAGATTTCTGTCCCAAACCCCTCAAAATTCCCATTTTCCATCCCAGAATTCCCCAAATTCCCGGATTTCTGCCCCAAATCCCCTCTAAAACCCCTCAAAATTCCCATTTTTGATCCCAAAATTCCCAAATTCCTCCCCAAATTCCCTCTAAAACCCCTCAAAATTCCCGTTTCCATCCCAGAATTCCCAAATTCCTGGATTTCTGCCCCAAACCCCTCCAGATTCCCATTTTGGATCCCAGAATTCCCGAAATTCCTCCCCAAATTCCAATTAAAACCCCTCAAAATTCCCGTTTGGATCCCAGAATTCCCCAAATTCCTCCCCAAATTCCCTCTAAAACCCCTCCAGATTCCCATTTCCATCCCAGAATTCCCGGATTCCTGCCCCAAACCCCTCCAGATTCCCATTTTGGATCCCAGAACTCCGGGAATTCCGGGATTCCCGCCCCAAACTCCCTCTAAAACTCCTCAAAATTCCCATTTTTGATCTCAAAATTCCCAAAATTCCTGGATTCCTGCCCAAATTCCCACTAAAACCCTTTAAAATTGCCAAATTTCCCAAAATTTTGGATCCCAAAATTCCCAAAACTCCTCCCAAAATTCCCTCTAAAACGCCTCAAAATTCCCGTTTGGATCCCAGAATTCCCCAAATTCCTCCCCAAATTCCCTCTAAAACCCCTCAAAATTCCCATTTTGCATCCCGGAATTCCCGGATTCCTGCCCCAAACCCCTCCAGATTCCCGTTTCCATCCCAGAATTCCGGGAATTCCGGGATTCCCGCCCGGCTCCCACCTGGGCCCGCGCTGCAGGAGCTGCTCCAGGACGGCGTCGAGACGTCGCCGCGCCGCCGCCGCCTCCAGCTCTGCCAAATTCGGGAATTCTTTGGGAATTCTTGGGAATTCTTGGGGAATTCCAGGAGATTTGGGGAGGATTGCAGGGAAATTTCAGGAATTTTTGGAGGAATTTCCGGAATTTTTGGGATTTTTTGGGGGGGATTTAAGGAATTATTTGGGAATTTGGGGGTTCCAGGGTTCAGTTCTGGGAAATTTCTGGGAATTTTTTGGGAATTTGTGGAGATTTGGGAAGGATTTGAGGGAAATTTCAGGAATTTTGGGGGATTTGGGGAGGATTTAGGGAATTTTGGGGATTTTTTGGGGGAAATTTAAGGAATTTTTGGGAATTTGGGGGTTCCAGGGTTCAGCTCTGGGAAATTCGGGAATTCTTTGGGAATTTTTGGGAATTTTTTGGAAAACTGAGGAGATTTGGGAAGGATTTGAGGGAAATTTCAGGAATTTTGGGGGGAATTTAAGGAATTTTTTGGGAATTTGGGGGTTCCAGGGTTTAGTTCTGGGAAATTTCTGGGAATTCTTTGGGAATTCCAGGAGATTTGGGAAGGATTTGAGGGAAATTTCAGGAATTTGGGGGGATTTGGGGAGGATTTTATGAATTTTTGAGGGGGATTTAAAGAATTTTTAGGAATTTTGGGGGGATTTAAGGAATTTTTGAGGAATTTGGGGATTCCAGGGTTCAGTTCTGGGAAATTTCTGGGAATTTTTTTGGAATTTGAGGAGATTTGGGAAGGATTGCAGGGAAATTTCAGGAATTTTTGGAGGAATTTCCGGAATTTTTGGGATTTTTTGGGGGGAATTTCAGGAATTTTTGGGGAATTTGAGGGTTCCAGGGTTTAGTTCTGGGAAATTTCTGGGAATTCTTTGGGAAATCCAGGAGATTTGGGAAGGATTTGAGGGAAATTTCAGGAATTTGGGGGAATTTAAGGAATTTTCTGGGATTTTTTGGGGGGAATTTAAGGAATTTTGGGGAAATTTAAGGAATTTTTGGGGAATTTGAGGATTCCAGGCTCCAGCCGTGGGAAATTCGGGAATTCTTTGGGAATTCTTGGGGAATTCCAGGGGAATTCCAGGAGATTTGGGAAGGATTTGAGGGAAATTTCAGGAATTTTGTGGGATTTAAGGAATTTTTGGGAGTAATTTCAGGAATTTTTGGGGAATTTGGGGGTTCCAGGGTCCAGCTCTGGGAAATTCGGGAATTCTTTGGGAATTCTTGGGGAATTCTTGAGGAATTCCAGGAGATTTGGGGAGGATTGCAGGGAAATTTCAGGAATTTTTGGAGGAATTTCCGGAATTTTTGGGATTTTTTGGGGGAATTTAAGGAATTTTGGAGGGATTTAAGGAATTTTTGGGGAATTTGAGGGTTCCAGGGTTCAGTTCTGGGAAATTTCTGGGAATTTTTTGGGAATTTGTGGAGATTTGGGAAGGATTTGAGGGAAATTTCAGGAATTTGGGGGGATTTGGGGAGGATTTAAGGAATTTTTTGGGATTTTTTGGGGGGATTTAAGGAATTTTTGGGGACTTTTGGGGGAATTTAAGGAATTTTGGGGGGATTTAAGGAATTTTTGTGAATTTGGGGGTTCCAGGGTTCAGTTCTGAGAAATTTCTGGGAATTTTTGGGGAATTTGTGGAGATTTGGGAAGGATTGGAGGGAAATTTCAGGAATTTTGGGGGATTTTGGGGGGAATTTAAGGAATTTTTGGGGGGGATTTAAGGAAATTTTAGGAATTTTGGGAGGATTTAAGGAATTTTTTGGGAATTTGGAAGGAATTGGAGGAGATTTGGGAAGGATTGGAGGGAAATTTCAGGAATTTGGGGGGATTTGGGGAGGATTTTAGGAATTTTTTGGGATTTTTTGGGGGGAATTTAAGGAATTTTGGGGAAATTTCAGGAATTTTTGGGGAATTTGAGGATTCCAGGCTCCAGCTGTGGGAAATTCGGGAATTCTTTGGGAATTTTTTGGGAATTTTTTGGAAAACTGAGGAGATTTGGGAAGGATTTGGAGGGAAATTTCAGGAATTTTTGGAGGGATTTAAGGAATTTTTGGGGGGGGATTTCAGGAATTTTCGGGGGAATTTAAGGAATTTTGGGGAATTTGGGGGGTTCCAGGGTTCAGCTCTGGGAAATTTGGGAATTCTTTGGGAATTTGAGGAGATTTGGGAAAGATTTGAGGGAAATTTCAGGAATTTTTGGAGGGATTTAAAGAATTTTTAGGAATTTTGGGAGGATTTAAGGAATTTTTGGGAATTTGGGGGGAATTTCAGGAATTTTGGGGGGAATTTAAGGAATTTTGGGGGGATTTAAGGAATTATTT